TTTTTAGTTCTGAAAAGGTTGAGACCTACTGATCCAGAAGCAGGTCCTAGTGGGCTGCAAACTCTCTCAAAGAGAGAAAGGACACCAGAGAGCCAGATTCCTGATGTTCTTGTGGAAGGGGACTCTCCTTCCAGACCATAACCACCTTCCATTTCATCCTCCCTTCTCACAAGCCAAAGATGTCACCTTGAGTGGTGAGCAGAGTATGAAATTGTTTCTGGTAAACTAGGCACATTTTATAAATTTTTGGTGAATACACTAGGAAATTATTGGTGTTTCTGGTAAATTACACGTATTATACAACCCTTTTTTATTATGAAAAGGTTAGTTAAGGGGTGCTTTGGGGAGTTTGGAACACACTATGGGTAGTCTTGAGTTACAGCCAGCCCTTGTGAACCAATTGAGTTTGTAAGTCAAGGTCCATTGTATTTCTATGGATTTGCCGTATGGATTTCTGTGGATTTGCCTATTTGTATGGATTCTGGACATATATCATACATTTTTTGACCTTCTGTGACTGTCTTCTTTCACTTAGGATGCTTTTAAGTACTTTCTTTTTATGGGTGAATTACTGTATATGCTGTTGTACAGCTATACCACATTTGTCTAGCCAGTCATCAGCTGATGGTCATTTGGGTAGTTTCTTTTTTGCGGCCATTATGAATAATGCTGCTGTTAATTCTTTCAGTCTATTTTAAATTTTATATATATATATTTTTTTTCTCTTCAGAGACCTTCATTTCTTTTCCATAATGCTAAGTTTACAGAATTCTACTTTTTTGAGATGGGATCTTGCTTTGTTCCCCTGGAGCATTTGTTTCTCAAATGATTGTTCTGCCTCAGCCTCCAGAGTAGAAGCACGCATCACCAGGCTCAGCAGATCCATGCTCAGCAGAATTTGTTTTGTCTTAAATCAGTCTGTCTGGCTATCTATCTTATCTTTTTATCTGATCTGCCCCATACCTGGATTATAAAACATTACAGGAAAATACAGCTGTTTGGTGAAACCAATTGGTGGAGCTACATAGTACTGAAATTTGTGATGCAAAACAGTTGTTCTAAAACTCAATCAAGTCCCTCTCTTGTTAACTTTATAGCTCTTCAATGCTTCACCATTTTCTTAAGATGGACCATTATCTTCTTCCTTCTTAGCAGAATGTCCTTCATTCTGCTTGGTGGGAATGTTTTTATTTTTTGTTCCTAATCTCAACATTTAGGATCTGTTCTTAAGTGTTTCATTTTTTTCTCCCATTCCTCCTACAATGAAAGTATTTCTTTTTCTGTGTACTTCCAAATCCTCTACTTCCCCTGTAATTTGCTTAGACTTTTCTCTCTGTACCTTTCTTTAACACCTTATTATCTTAAGTAGATAAACATGCTGGTTTGTTTTTTAGTAAAACTAAACAAAAGCAGGTAACAACAACAAAACTTTCCCTCAGAAACACAAATCTCTGCTGAGTGAGTAGTTACCATGTCCCCATAACAGTCTGTCTATTGCTATGTGCATTATCTTACCCTTCTGTAAAAACATGATATGGTGCCTTTGGACCATTGTTAGGGAAGAAACAGAAGAAACTGAAGTTTGTAGAGCTTAAGCTCACCCTGGCCCTCTTATGTGGTTAAGTATGGCAGCAGGTCTTGGGACCTAAGCAAAGTGAGCCTGTGTTTTAACCACTGTACCTGTCTGTTTCTTTCTCTGTTTTTATAGAAACTTTAAAGTTAATTAATTTTGAATTATTTAATTTAGTGAATATAAATAATGCTATCTATGTGGTTTAAAATTCAAAGGTAAAGTATGTACCCAGTGGAAATTAGTCATATTCTAATTTCCTTGCTAGGGGAATACGCTGACCGACTTTCTTGTGTGTCCTTGCAGAAATGCTCCAAGCAGATGAAAGGTTATATGTATTTGCCCTTTTCAATAGAAATGACTCTTCTCATTCTAACAAAAATATTAGTCCTATTTTACATTTTGGCTTTTTTCTTAATGTATCTTGGATGTTGTTATTTATTATTAATATAGAGATATTCCACATTTTCCCATTTGTTGCTGTTGGGGATTTAACTAGGGCTTTGTGCATGCTAAACATGCACTCTGCCACTGAACTGCATCCCCAACCCTATCTCATTTTTTTTAATGGCTAAATTTTATTACATTAGTTATATCATAATTTATTTATTCAGTTGTTTACTGGTAGATACATAAGATTGCAGTCAAATCCAGGCATGGTGGCACACACCTATACTGTAATCTCTTCACTTGGAAAGCTGAGGCAGAAAGATTGCAAGTTCAAGGCCAGCCTGGGCTACATAGTGAGACTATGTCTCAAAATCTTCACCCCACTAAAAAAAAATAAAAGATTGCAACCGAATTTTACTGTGACTATAATGAATAGCTTCAGATGTGTCATATGGCTTATGTGCAGATGTATCTGTATGATCTTTTTTTTTTGGTACAGGGATTGAACTTAGGACCTTGTGAGGCAGGCGTAGCGCCACTGAGCTAAATCCTCAGCCCTATGATACACATTTTTGAAAGTGAAATTGGTAGCCTAGAGAGTATGTGTGTTTTAAATTTTGATAGCTCTTGCTAAATTGCCTTCCACAGAAAGTTACCAATTTATATTCCCACCAACAATGTATTAAAGTACCTGTTTCCCTGTACTTGCCCTCTCCAAAGCAGCATATTATCAAACTTTTTGATTTCAGCTGTTCTTTTCCAAACTAGTAATTGGCATTTCTTTTACTAAGAGTGAGTTGGGTTTAAGACACATTTGCATATCCTTTTCTAGGAATTATCTGTGTGAGTCTGTCACCCATTTTTTCTGGTAGATGGTTGGATTTTCAGAATGATTTATGTACCCTTATGGTAGGAAAATTAGTCCTTTTTAATTTGTTGCTATATGTTTTTCCATATTGTCCTTTCATTAAGTTCATTTTTTTTTCTTATAGGAATATTTTATTTTTAAGTATTTGAGTTTATCAGTATTTTCCTATGACTTTTGAAATTGTGTCCATTTCAGAAGACTTTTTCCACTAAGATTAGTGTTAAAATATTTCCTATTTTTTTAGTTTTCTGATTTCATTTTTTATGTTTAAATCTTTATTTCGCCTGAATTTAATTTGGGGATTTGGAATCCAACTTATTTCTTTCTCCTTCACATGGCTATCCAGTGTCCCCAGTGTCACTTTTGGGGGAATTTCCTGCTCCACCATTGCCTGGAATATTACTTTAATCAAATACTGCATATTTTTATGTTTCTTGACTTGTATTTTGTTCTATTGACTCATTTGTCTATTCACATTCACTACCAAATTTTCAGTTACTGTAATATATTTTACATCTTTTTTTTTTTTTTTTTGGTACTGAGGATTGAACTCAGGTCCTTGCGCTTGTGCAGCAGGTGGCGAAACCACTGAGCTAAATCCCTGGCCCCCTTATTTTAAATCCTATAAGGCTAATGCTCTCACTTACTACTTTCTCAAAGAAATTGTTTTCTTGCATGTTGGTTACTCCTATGAAGTTTAGAATCAGTTTTTCTGGTAAGACATCTTATTTTGTTTTGTAAGAAGCAAACTGTTTTAAAGACTTAGCTCTGCCAGTATTTCTTATACTGGGTTTTGTGGAACATTGGTCCTTTGGGAATGATTCCGCTAAAGAGAATTCCATGGTCAAATACTTTTGGTAATGCTGCACGTTGTCTCTTCTCTGTTCGATGCACATTAATATATCAAAAGCTCTTGGGCTGGTGTGTAGTTCTGTGGTACAGTGCTTGCCTGACATATGGGGAACTCGGGGCTTTGATCTCAAGTGCTTGGGGGAGAGGTAGACTATATATTAAGATTGCACCTGGTACTGTGCAATCTGCTGTCTATCTCAGGTCTCTTACAAGCTTAGCAATATCCTGTGCTGTCTTTTCTAGGAACCCTTCCTTGATCTCCACAGACTGGGTCAGGTATTCGTCTTTTGTTTGCTCATGCATGGTTTTTGGTCATAGCACTTGTTTGTGGTTTGTAGAATTTGTCAGTGGTTAGAATTAGAACTCCGTGAGAACAGAGGTTATATTTTTAACTTCTGTTCTTCTGCACCCTAGAATAAAAGTTTTAAATACTCTTGAGATCTTTTAGGAGATTAGATTTTTCTTGGTACTTTATCTTCTTGGTGTCCTTCCTTTTCCCCCTCTTCAGTACCTTTCCCTTTGTCATCCAGAGCAGCTCCACTTTTGTTTTTAATGTTTAGCATTCACCTAATATTTTGTTTAAAAAGAATGTTCTGTATCTGAATGAAAGGAAGAAGGAAAAGAAAGGGATTATGAGAGGAAGAAAGGAGGGACAAAAGTCAGGGGAGATAAAAAGAGAGAGGAGTGCTTAGTCCTGACGCTTAGTGCAGTGCCTAGAACAGTTGAGATTGGATGAATTTTTTTTCCTTTTTTTGGTACTGGAGATTGAACTCTGGTCCTTGCACTTGCAAGGCAGGCGGCGTAACCACTGAACTAAATTCCCGGTCCCTGGAAGAATATTTTTTAATAGTGGTTGATTAATCAATTCAGACATCTGCTTTGATAGAACAATACCAAAATAATCAGCATGCTAACCTATCATACCAGTTTACTCATCTTTCCTCCAATAAACCACAGTTCAGACGACAAATCTTTTTATCATACTGCTTGGTTATCCTTTTCTTTCTTCTAGGAGGTTCTTAATAAATCTTAACAGATTTAATTTATGGGATTGAATTTAACTGGGTAAAATGACTTTTTTGTTGTTGTTTTATCAGACAGCCTGAGTCCTAAAAGGACATTTTTTTTGGTACAACTCTTCTATGAATTAATTTACTTTATAGGCTAAAGGAAAAAAGAGTGTTCAGTTCAACTAGTCTCTTTTGGATTTATTGATGAAGCATAATTTATCGTAGGTTAAATTGTGTGTTTACTGACAAAATTTGTTCAACTAATCTGTAAATTTATTTTCAATCTGATGTAATTTCTTTTCATTTTCAGCTTGTGAAGCTTTGTATTGTGATGATTGATACTGGAAAAGCCTTCTGTGTTGCAAATAAACAGTTCATGAATGGAATTCGAGACCTAGCACAGTACTCTAGTAATGATGCCGTAGTTGAGGTTGGTATTATTAAAATTACAGTTAAAGTGATAAATGCAAAAGACATTAAAGAATTATGTATCCATTTAACTTTGTTTTGTTTTCGGTTTTTTTTGGTACCAGGGACAGAACTCAGGTCCTTGCTTGCTTGCGTAGCAGGTGGCGAAACCACTGAGCTAAATCTCTGGCCCAAAAACTCCCTCTTGTTTTTTTTGTTTTGTTTTGTTTTGTTTTTGTACCGGGGATCGAACTCAGGACCTTGCCCTTGTGAGGCAGGCCACGGAACCACTGAGCTAAATCCCCAGCTCCCTCCATTTATCTTATTAATAGTTATAGGGGTATTTATAGTTAAAGGAGAAAAAAACTCTGTGGCCTTTGGTGCTGTTACATAACTGTGATTTCAAGGATAGTAGCATTAAAAGTTGATTTGCACAGTGCACACGTACCCTCACTCTCCTAACCCTGCCTCAGTGTTTTGGCCATTTCACTATGTTTTCTGTGTCTGCTCGAGGGCCGTTGTGGGAAGGGCCTGGTCCCTGGACTGCTGAGCATGCCTCGAGCTAGTGGGGTTGTCCTTGGTAGTAAATGTTACTGTTTACAGTGTAACTTGCTCTTTCTGTCAAAAATGCTAAAGTTACATTTTTGTGACCTATTTTTTTGGCTCTTAAATGACTTGATTTTCCTTTGGTTTCTTTCTCCTAGACAAGTTTGACCAAGTTTTCCGACAGCCTTCAAGAAATGATAAATTTTCACACAGTAAGTGTTAGTAAGTAGGTGTTATACTATGATCATGTTAGTATTTTGGTACCTCTCTTGAGTGGCGGTATTTTATGGAATGATTACATTGAATTTAATGACTGGTCAACAGCCTTTTGGTTGAGTGGATCTAAGTGTACCCTGTATGTGTATGTTTTATTTTCCAGTCTAATATAATGAACTTAATATCTATGATGTAGATACCGATTAAACTTGTTTTCTTTAAATTATAGCGGTGCTGATTTTGAAGCATTTAAAAATAAAGAAGTAAAGGTCACTTTAAATTTAGATGTTTCTTTTAATGTACCTACAAATATAGCCCTTTTACCACATCAGTTGCCCATATCAACTTATATGGCTATTTAAGATATGAGGGCATATATCTTTCAAGAATGAGGGATATTGGCCAGGGATTTAGCTCAGTGGTTCCGCCACCTGCCTTGCAGGCACAAGGACCGGAGTTCGATCCCTGGTACCAAAAAAAAAAATAAAATAAAAGGAATGAGGGATATCGGGCCAGGGATTTAGCTCAGTGGTTCTGGCGCCAGCCACACAAGCGCAAGGTCCTGAGTTTGATCCCCGGTACCGAAAAAAAAAAAAAGAATGAGGGATATCTATTACTTTTGGAACATCATGAGATTCCTTAATAAATTTCTAAAAGCTTACTAAAAAGACAGTAGCTTATAAGTTATATACTTGTAATATTTTTTTAAAAAGCTCAACTAATGTGGCTATCCTATAATAAATTTTGAAGCAGCGAATAATTAGCTGTCTGTTCATGAATATCAGTACTTACATTTATTCTTTATAAAATTCTACTAATTTTTCATTCTTAGTTAATTTGATCCTAATTTTTTTGTTGCTCAGTAGATTAAGGATTAAGTTATATGACAATATTTATTTTTGATTGTAGATTAAATTTTAGCTGTACCAGAAATGACAGGTACAAGTATCTGCTTAAGTACCTGTTTTCAGTATTCTTTTTTGTTTTTTACTGGGGATCAAACTCTGGACCTTATGCTTGTGAGGCAGGCGCCAGAACCTCTGAGCTAAATCCCCAGCCCTTCAGTACTCTTGAGTATATACTTTGGTGAAATTGCTGAGTCATGCAGCAATTCTACATTTACTTTTCTGAAAAACTGTCAAAATTATTTTCTTTTTTAAAAAATTATAGCCATCTTATTGGGAGAGAGGAGATGTCTCATTGTGATTTTGATTGGTATTTCCCTAACAGCTAGTGCTGTTGAACATTTTCATGAGCTTATTGGTCATTTATGTATCTTCTGCCATTGTTACCATTGTTGTCTATTGAAGTTTTTTGTCTTTTAAAATTTTTACTGTTGTTGAGTTGTATTTGTAGAGTTCTTTATAACTTCTGAATATTAAACTTTTATCATTGTACAATATTCAAATATTTTATTCTGTAGTTTTCTAGGTTTTTCTCCCCTTCTTGGGATTGCTAAGCACATGCCCTGCCATGGAGCTGCTACATCATCAGTCCTTCTTTTTCATTTTCTTGATTCTGTCCTTTGATGCACAAAAGTTTTAAACTTTTATGAACTCTAAAGCCCTGTTTTTCCGTTTTTTTCTTGGGTTGCTTGTGCTTCTACTGTGATATCTAAGAGAATCCATTTCTAAATCCAAGGTCATGAAGATTTATTCCTGTCTTTTAAGAGTTGTATAATGTTAGCTTTAATGTTTTATACCAGTTTGACCACTTTCTAGTTTTCTTTTTGTCTTTTACTGTATTTAGAGGCATTTGATTTCTTTTGAAATTTATTATATTTAATTTCTTTTGAAATTAAATGATTCTTTATATTTAAACATCTTAAAATGTAATATACTAAGAATGACTTTTTTGGTGTAATTACTGATTGTAAATTAACATAATAGATTAAATGTTTTCTTCATAATGTAGTACCCTTGAAATATTTCTGTCTCATCCCCTGCTCCTGGGTAGGAAGGATCAACACAGGGAAAATGGCCATACTTCCAAAACTGCTATATAGATACAGTGCAATCCCAATTGAAATCCCAGCAGTATACTACATGGACCTTGAAAAGACAATCCAAAAAATCATTTGGAACAAGAAGAGACCCAGAATAGCAAAAGCAATTCTAGGTAACAGAGACATAACAGGTGGTATCACAACCCCCAACTTGAAACTACACTGCAAAGCTACTGTGATAAAAACAGCATGGTACTGGGAAAGAAACAGACCTGAGGACCAGTGGAACAGATTAGAAGATGTAGAAACAACGCCAGACACACTCAGCCACCTCATCTTTGACAAAGGAGCCAAACACCCTCACTGGAGGAAAGAAAGCCTCTTTAATAAATGGTGCTGGAAAAATTGGATTTCAACTTGCCAAAGATTAAAACTAGACCTATATCTCTCACCATGCACTAATCTAAAATTGATATGGATTAAAGATCTAAATATTAGAACAGAAACGCTGAATCAGCTGGAAGAGAGGTTAGGTAGAACTCTTGAAGACATAGGTGTAGGAAAAGATTTTATGAACAAAACCTCAGTTGCCCATGAACTAGCACAATCAACAAGTGGGATCTCTTCTTACTAAAGAGCTTCTGCACAGCAAGAGAAACCACCAACAGAGTGAAGAGACAACCCAGAATGTGGGAAAAATGTTCACCTGCCGTTCCTCAGACAAAGGTGTAGTATCTAGAATCTATAAAGAACTTAAAAAAATCAGACCTCCCAAATTTAAAGACCCAATCCAAAAATGAGCATCTGAAATGAACAGACATTTCTTAGAGAAGTAGAAATAGTAAATAAACATATGAAAAAAATGTCCAACATCACTGGTCATTTGAGAGATGCAAATGGAAATAACACTGAGAAAAAAAAAACAATGCTGAGATTCCACCTCACCCCAGAAAGAATGGCTGCTATCATGGAATCAACCAATAACAAATGCTGACGGGCTGTAGGGAAAGAGGAACACTGCTTCACTGCTGGTGGGAGTGTCAACTGGTGCAACCACTGTGGAAATCAGTATGGAGATACCTCAAAGAACTAAGACTGGAAGTCCCATTTGACCCCGCTATTCCTCTCCTGGGTATCTTCCCCAAAGAATTAAAAGAATCATACCACACTGATACATGTGTACCCATGTTCATAGCAGCATAGTTTGTAATAGCTAAAACTTGGAAACAGCCCAGATGCCCATCAACTGGAGACTGGATCAAGAAAATGTGGTTTTTTAAATAAAATAGAGTACTACTCAGCCATAAAACATGAGAAATTAGAGATATTTATAGCTAAATGGATGCACATTGAGGCCATACTCTTAAGTGAAATAAATAGGACACACGTGTAAATACCAAATAGTTTGTCTAGTGAGAAACTGAAAGTGTAAATGAGGACTAAATGGTATAATAGACAATGTGAAATAGGAAGAAAAGGGGGGAAGGGGGAGGGGAGGAGAAAGGAAAGAAGGGAATGGAATTAATATGAGAAAATGAAAAAATGGAAGCAAAGTCTTTGTAAATAAGGAGGGAGGGCAGGGGAGGGTTGAAAAATAAGCACCAAGAGAGATTATGTAAAGGTGCAAATTTCCAAAGACGAATGTCATTATATTGTATGCCTAAAATGTACCAATAAAATTAAATAAAAAAAATTCCTGTCTCTCCTATATTTGTTAAAGCACTGGGGAGAAGAAGGGCTGGGAAATATGCTTAAGTTTCTAGCCCCTGCTAGTGTAGAAGAGGGGACTGGGAGGGAGTGTAGAGATGTGAGCCAACAGGTAGGCAGCCACCATACTAACCATAATGGATGTAATTCCGAAAAAAAAAATAGCAGGAAATTATTATCAACTTAATTTTTATCCTTAAAATTTCTATGACTGAATTCCCTAAACCAAAATGTCAGTAGTTTCTCTGACACTTCTAAGGCTAAACCACTGCCAGCTCTTGTTTAGGCTCTATCATAGCTCCCAGCTTATGCCTCTGGTTCCCTTCTTGCCCATTCTGCAGTGAGTTCTGGGCTCAGCAGCTAGATTGAACTTTTAATAGTATAAGTGGATTCACAGCCCTCCCCAGCAGCAGTGGCTCCCCATTACACTCCAAATGTGTGATTAGGCTCCTGCTTGTAGCTCCCTGATCTTATCCCTACCTTTTTCTGGCTGTAGCCTCTTGGCTTTTGCTGGTCTTTGGACACACCAAAGTAATTCTTATCTCAGGGCCTTTGTGTTTGCTTTCTGTTGTGTGTGCAGTATTCTTCCTCCACATCTGTGTGTGGTTAGTTTCCTCACAATATTCGTTCTCATTTTATTTGGGTCACTTCCTTTTCCAACCACTATATGGTCCCTTTCTCTCCCTCTACCCCGTCTTTACATACGCAGAGACTACATATACATATATTCTCAAATATATTGCATTTACTTTATTGTCTGTTCTTCTGAGTTCCATGACTGCAGGTACTTTGTTATGCTCAACTCTTTAAAAAATTTTTTTTCATAAGTTTATTGATACATTTAGGCATACAATGCAGTAACATTCATCATTGGGAACTTGTACCTTTACATGATGTATCTTAGTTTTATTTTTTTCCCATTCCCCTGCCCTCCCTTCAACCCCTCCACCCCTCCCTATTTACAAAGATTTTGTTTCCATTTTTTCCTTTTCCCATATTTTTTCCTTTCCCTTCTTTCCTTTCTCCTACCCCTCCCACTTCCCGTACCCTTTTAGACCTTTTCTTCCCGCTTCACATTATCAATTACACATTTGGATATGCTCAGCTCTTTTTAACTGAAGAGTGCTTGGTAGAAAGGTGTCACTTGTGGCATAGTTAATGAGACTAAGGTTACAAATTTGTGAAAGCTCTTAAATGTTTTCTAATAGTTATCAAATCAACAAAGATTTGTTGAATCAGTACCAGCGCAACAAATAGACAATTGAGGCATTTACTGTTTTAGTTTTTCTTTCACTATTGCTTGTGCTTGACAAACATCAGGATCACTGTTGACTATAAAATTCA